ATATATATATATATATATATATATATAAGCACACTTCCCAATGATTGACGGTCTAACCGTGGCTGGGAGGTATTCCTGGGTGTCAGACTGCGATGTACTGCAGATGGATTCATCCCTTCGTCAGGGTCTCTCAAGTTGACAAGGAGTCCGGTGTTTTTATGAAGAGGCTTAGATGAGAGTAAACCAATCCCAGGATCCATCACCGTTCTGGTATCAAATACGCATGGTGGCAAATCTTTCTCTAATCCACTAGTGCTTCCTGTGACAGTGTTCACCTGTGGAACATTTTGACCAGGCTTATCTCGCGATTCCAGGAAACCACAATGGCTCAACCAGAAGATCTCTGAAAAATGGTGATTATGCTGGGGGCCGCACAAGCAGTGAGGACGGACTGTTCAAGTATCAAGTGTCAAGCGTATACAAACACATAAGCACATATGTGCGTACACATAAATACATATACATGTATATATACATCCAGTAATAGAACAAAACAAATGCAAAATAAAATTAGAGCACGAAAGGAGTTCTGTGAGTTAAACGTGGCTCAAAGTTTTCTCTATATTTTATTGATCTCTCTTGTTTCTTCGGATAGCAACTCTCATTTGTGGCGATTTTTATGATGAACGCTTCAATGCGTAGTGTTGGCTGCATTTCTGTTATAATCGGAACGGGGTCTGTTTTTTCTGAGAATATTTTAGCGCTGCTGTTAAATTGTTTCATAGATCGATATGCAACGACGAATCTACCAGGTGAATCAAATTTGAAGTATAGAAATACAGAACTTCAGCCATTGGCTAGTCTCAGTCAGATGCGATGTCGAACTCTTACTGAGTGTGTTGTTCTATACAAACTGAAATTTCGAGCGGTAAATATGAATTTAACGTTCATTGCAATTTTTTGGGGTGAGGTACTCTTTCTACAAACTGAATTCGTAAATACAGTATGTGCCAAATTGGCGCCGAAGAAACCATCCCCAGGATTCACCTGTGTCTTAGGGAGGCAGAGGTCGCCTTCGGTTCGGGAGGAACCCCCCTATACGCTACATGGGGACGCGCCACCTAATCTTTCGTGTAACCGGCTAGAGATCCTTCATATGAGGGAGATCGGTGTAGTGGCCTTTACAATGACTCGCTGTGGCCTACCGATGTATTGAGCCAGTGCTGCTAGCCTCCCAAACAAGTCTTGTACCAATTTGCCGACTCCGGAGAGATGGAAAGCTTTGTGGGCCATGGTTGCGCTGATCGGTTCCACTTACCCGTTGCAGCACACCTCTAACCACTGTGCCACACTCACCCTTCTTCCAAATATATATATATATATATATGTATATATATATATACCAATAAGACCATTATTTGTAGAGACCAGCTATGATTATTCACTGCATGTTCCCTCTGGGGCTGTGGCAATTTAATTGCCTACTATTAAATCTTCGAAAAAACAGTTGGCTTCGTCAGCCAACCTGACGGAATATCTGTGCTAGCGAATACGTGGAAGTGAGTAAAGCCTCAATAAGATCCAACTAAGAGCTTCTAAAAACAGTGGATTTGAAGAACTAGGATTTCCAAAACATTTCAGGATCTGAGAGAGTTAAATGTTCATTTATAGATAAGTTACACCTCGTCACCTTCAAAAATACTCGAAGTAAGAAGAAACGACATTTACTACTTCTCATGAAACATATGACCCGGCATTAAAGACAATTGACAATCGCGAATTTAAAGTGAAATAAATGCTATAAAAATAGCTTGACTTTAAACTCTTTCACAGAACTTTCCGTCGCAAAACCGGGAATCATTACCCTGAATTAATAGCAGCTACACTGCACATAAACAGAGTTATCACTGCACAGTTGTCACGATGAGATTAACGCTAAAACATCGAAAAGTCCAAATTACATATATGCGCCGCCTTTAACAAGAAAAACGAATGCTGCTCTGGTAAAAAGAAGGAATACAATGTAGAGGGAAAAAAGATGAACTATTGAGACGATATTAAAAATGATTTCGACACCAAAAACAACACCAGGAAAACCAAAGTTGGGTGTAAAGCATGGATAAAGATGCTAAATCGAAACTGGGGCCTTGCTTTGCCCCGCAAAGAAGCTGAAGTGATAGTGCTTAGAATGGTGTTCAATTCCAACGCTTATGAACAAAACCTATAGAAATCTAGCCTTTTCAAAGCACACAACTTCATGAAAGAAAATGGGAAAAGTAAATACCCGTATATTTGCACCGATAGTGGTTGGTAGTTACTTCAACCGGCCACTATAGTTCTCTTTCGCTATCTATAAATCAGCGACGTATTTATTGAATCACCGAAGAAAGAAGGATTTAGCAACATTTTTAGAATACCTTGTGAAGAAGTGTGGCATTTTCCTGTCCCGTCTCTTTCACAAGGCTTGCGAGAACTCCACTGGGATTTTGAAGAAGTTCATACGCTGGTGCAAACTCAGCAACTTCACCATCTTTCAGCACCTGATTATCAATGATCACTTGAACGTAGAGACAAAACGAATTGTAGTTCACTCACCAAGATTCTGTTCGCATCCACAATTGTATGTAAGCGATGCGCGATTGTCAACACGGTTGCATGCGAAAAACTTTCACGTATTGTTCGCTGGATAAGAGTGTCAGTGCTGAAGTAGATAAAGACAGGAATTTGTTCACAAGAAACATTCAAGAGCTCGCTAGATGGTTCGTACCGCGGATCAACATTCGCTGTTGCCTCGTCAATCACTAGAATCCGCGAATTACGAAGTAGAGCGCGAGCAAGACAGACTAATTGTCGTTGTCCAACCTGAAATGCTCAGAAAGTGCAAATATTACAACAAAGATGTCACAGATAATCACTTAACGTACGGAAAAGTTGACTCCACCCTCGTGCATAGATGTCTCCAAACCACCTCCTAGTTCTCCTAGAACGGATTCCAATTCAACCTAAACGGAAGTACAAACCCTTCTTTACAAGAACTTTTTGTGAAGAAAAAAAAAACTACAAACCTGTCTAATGACGTTCCATAACTCTTCATCACTATAATCCTTGAAAGGATCAAGATTTTGACGCAAACTTCCCATAAAAAGCACCGGTTCCGAAAATTCGACAAGTTCGTGGTAGTCAGATATACATATTGTCAGATTTGAGAAACTGAGTGAATTAAAAACCTGAGGGATAATGGCTATTCCGCGACGAAGCACCTTCAATGGTATCAGTGCCGTATCCACATCATCAATCGTTATTGTTCCCAAAGATGGAGCAGTAAGGCGAAACAGTGCTCGAAGTAATGATGACTTACCAGAGCCAGTACGTCCAACGATACCAATCTGCGAGAACTAACACTAGCACATATTGACGACTACATAATAAACGAAAAATGAAAGTACTTTTTCCATAGGTTTAATATCAAGACATATGTTTTTCAGCACGTATTCACTATTGTCATCGTATCGCAGGAACACATTATTTATCTGAAATAGTGGACATTACATTAGAAGAAACGAATGTTGCACTGAATTTAAGACCTACAATAATATGACCCTCTGTTGGCCATCCTGCCGGTACCTTCATAAGCGGGCCGTTATCATGTTCAGATTCAAGCTCCGTATACTGTATGATACGTTCAATAGAAACCATCTAAAAGTTAAGCTACTACTACCAAAGCTATTCCGAGAAAGAACGGTGCAGCAAAACAAAAACGTTACATGACAGAACTACGAACGACGCTCAGCCTAAGGAATCTAAGGTTACGAGTAATTTTTATAAAATATCCCTTTAATCCAACAGTTGCTTAGAATCATAACTTTTAAACCCGAGCAAACGAAATCTGGATCACCAACTAATTCTAAATTATATGCGGAAGCTACAGACGTCTACAATCTTTGATAGGACATCAAGATGACTAGTTGGAAGGAATCCCATTTGAGTAACCCCATCTTTCAAAAATAGGGAGTTTAATGGAAAAACGTGAAAAAACTATTCGTTTACATTAGAAAACCATTTGTTTCTAACCATAATTATGTCGAGATATTTGCGAAACTCCTGATCGCTGGTGTCTGCGGCAGGGAACGAACGCGCTACTACCCTTCCAGGGGCTAACGCGTTTGCCACCACACCATGCAAGTACTTCGTTTCGTCTTTCTTTCAGTCGTGCTATTCACTTATAGGTGCTATCAACAATCACCCGTTAACGGGATTGATGTGGGAAGCACAAATCAGCATTGAACCTAGTAAAGCTGAAGCTTTAAAAGAGAAGAACAGGTAGTAAATAAAAAGTGACTAAATTGTGATTTATACCACAGCTTCAGCTTCATTAAGTTCAATGCCGAGTTGTACTCTCCATATCAATCCCATTGACGGGTGATTGGTGACTGCACCTATAAGTCAATAATACGACTGAGAAAAAGGCGAAACGAAGTACTCGCATAGTGTGGTGGTGAACGCATTAGTTATCGGTAGAGGTTATGGGACGTTCGTTCCCAACCGCAGACACCAGTGACCCGGAGTTCTGTAAGTATCTCAGCACCATTATGGTTATATTTCACATAATACCTTGCCATTAGAAAAAAAGTAGGCAATAAATAATTAAAAGAAATTTCACAATGAGTTAAGAGTTGAATGTTATACGTTCTTTAAAGGCGCAATTATTTATTCCCTGGCTCTAATGAGTCATAATGACTCATACGGAACCGTATGTGCTGAAAGCGTCTGCAAACCAAGAAAACTTAACGTTGTTGAATGCAAACGATCACTCATAAACTTTATTAAGCCGAAAAAGAAAACGTTAAGGCACATTCGCAAGAACGCACACCATTCTGCAGATCCGCTGATTGACGCATAATCCATGAAAAGAAACCTATTAGTTGAACGGCATAAACCAGAATCAAAGCAACGTCTCCAGATCTCATTGGTCCTATAAATACAGTGATTGTAGTATCGTACTTCCTACGCCTAAAAAACATTTGTCCCTAAAGTAATGCACATAATTTACGGCTTATCGTCTCACTGTAATAAAAGGATTACGGTTTGAATACGACGATGTGAAGTGGATTTATCCCCTAAGTAGAGTATTCCATTCCAAGGAGTTCGAGAAATAAATTGAGAAGCCTGCTTAGGCAAAACAACGTCAAGAAATGACGGAGCGCCCTCGAAAGAACCTAGCCGCACCGTGGCAAATCTGCCGATCAACATAGCGAGATACTGCTTATGATGATAACCTGGAAAAGCTTTGAAATAGCAGTAGCAAGTCTTCATGGAGAAAAAACTCATCAAGGCAGCAACAAAAATATTCAGCACACTGGTTGATCGCTCACAGAATCACGCAGGAACACCCGACGAGACATGACAATTAACTGTACGAAACACAGAATAAAATAGCAACTCTCGTTTAACATTTAGGGCTGCCCAATATACTTCATCAAGACTTGAAATTGCCACATCTAACTCCTTAATTCTTCCGACAATGAACTTCTGGATCAAAAACCAAGGCGATAACATGTGTATTTCACCAATATTAACTTCGTAAAGTCTGTAAATCTCCCATCGGTTTACGCCTCACAGTGGCTGGAAGGTGTTCCTGGGTGTCCGCGATGTATAGCGCGAGAGTTCATTCCACCAGGAGGGTCTCCCAAGCCGACAAAGAGTCCCGCGTTTCCAACAGGTAGCCTAGCTAAGTGTAAGCCAATACCAAGAACCACCATCGTCCTGGTATCAAACTAGTCTCATGGTGATAAATCTCCCTCAGGTGCACAAGGGCGGCGACTACCAGTTAGTGTTGACGGCTTGAGGCAGAATTCGACTAAGCTGACCTCTGGACCCTAGGGAATCACAATAACTAAATCAGCCAAACTCCGAAACAATCGAAATTATGCTGGTGCGCGCACAACTAGTGAAAACGAGACACACAAGTATTCAAATAAGTAACTAAAGTCTCTAAACAAAGCACGTCATACGTGACTATGGCACAGCAGAATTACGACCACCTATCGCCAATTCCATTCCGGTATAATATTCGCTTCTTCACCCAAAATTCCTGCTCTAAACAACACGAAATAATATAGACGACTCCAGTAGAAGATAGTATAAAAACTGGTTCTTCCCGAGCCCGAATCTCCGAAGTACATGCACTTCTTGCCAAACGGAACCCACAGATGCCTTGAATCTCCCGTTCATTAACTTGGTGATAGTTTCCTCGTTAAATCCACTGTGTAAGATGTTTGAGAATACTTACGCTTCGTAAGGTGCGTGTGGCGCAGTGGTCGGAGCCGCCCTGCGACACACACATGGGATCGATCCCCGCGCCCTTGGCTCACCAAGTCTTCCAACCCTCTGAGGCCAGCAAATTGATACGAAATTTGTCTGAGAGGATAAAAGCACTGGCTTGATACATCGGTAGGCCACCGTGAGCTAGATATCCATTCAATCAGTAAAGGCTAGATATGCATTCAATCACCTCTAACGATGCTTAACGAAGTCGAATGTGTGGCGCATCCCTCAGGGATAGATCAAAACCGAGAGCTTTATTGTTTATTTATTAACCCTTCGCAAGCACAAATGACTTAGAATACATCACAATTAATCGAGACAGTATGGTTCCGACAGGTATTCTATACCAAACCCAACTCACGTGGACGCAAGACCAGCAGTACTACAAGCGAAAATTAGAGACTGCGCACCATCGATTAGCACATAGTCGATGTCCAAGGCACATAGTAACATCAAATAAGATCGACTATATGGATGGGCGAATTCCATTCGAATTAACTTAACATGTCCACATTCACAAAGGATAAAGGATTAAGTTTTCGGCGTTGATCAATCCCTGAAGGATGCGCCATGAATTCGACTTCATTAAGTATCGTTTGGAGGTGATTGAATGCATATCTGGCCCTTACAATGACTCCCAGTAGCCTACCGATATGTCGAGTCAGTGTTGCTATCTTCCCAGAAAAATCCGGCACCGATTTGCTGTCTCCGGAGGTATTGAAGGCTTGGTGGCCCATGGGCGTTGGGATCGATTCCACGTATGTGCTGCAGGACGCCTCCAATCACTGCTCCACACGCATATCCATGCACATCCTATAACCATGGCTGTGAACGGTCATGAAACGATGTTAGAGGTCGCGGTGCACTAAACAGTCCAGCTGATTAGGCAAGGATAGCTAACGAACGAAATGGATGGAGAGTACACCTTGCTGTATGGTTGGACAGAGTTTCTCGTTCTTACTATATCCTATTGCATCTGATTAAAAGAGAGCATTTCAAAACGAATTATTAAAAAGGCATCATAAAATAGTAGAAAAACGAGAAATTGGCAATTTAAAGAATCCTAGATGAAGTCTAAAAATGAAAGCGGTTTATCCGAAGATTTGCAAAGCTTCCAAGGGAGAAGACTACAAATTTGTGGACCGACACTTTAACTTACGATAAATCGTTCTGTATTTCTTTACTAGTCATGTCAACAAGCATTACTGTTGTATATTTCTTTGTTTCACTTTTTTCTATGTTTTACACGACCCAACATCACAATATACGGATCCTATCACTTTTTGCATCCGAATCGTTCTGTCGCATTCGTACGGAAGTCTTTGGACTTGAGCGTACACCCAGCTGCTACTTGGGAACTTTTAATCGTCAGAATGTCGCTGTATACTGGTCGAGTCGACTCTCTCTCTATTCAAGAGCCGAACCTGAGATAGCTATGTTAGGGCGATCCCAGATCTTTCGCCACAGGCGGTGCCCGGGTTTTCTGGACAGGAAGAACCTCTTCCTAGAAAAATCTAGCACCAAACACCAACTCTATAGGAATGTCAGAACGGCGAGTGGTCTTATCAGGGTTTTAACATTACTGTCAATACTATACCTGTATCCTGCTTGTGGATATATCATAAATCGCGAGATTTATGGCCTCTTACCTAAACACTAAATTACAGATACTAGGGTGCGTAATGCAATAGTAATAATGCAGCAGGTCCAACGTACTCAGGCGCTGTTTGACCGTTAGCCAGTCCTGCCATGCTTTACCACTCTTCCGGGATTAGTAAAGTGATACCAGACTTGCTATGACCATCTTATCCTTTAATCCACGTGTGAAAAGCCTAACACGCTTATCCCAGGATTCCAGGAAGAATCAAGTAGACCATCATTTAACGATATTCATGACGGAAACAGAAATCCTCAGTACGTTGGAAGATTTTCGTTGATGGTGGATACACGGGAACGAATCTAATGCAAGAAGTGCTGGAATCCACACAATACGATATATGCTGCCGGAGGATGTAGAAAAAACGTTGACACATTCTGACAATTTTTCGTTTAGTCAACATTTCTACCCTAAGTGGAAGAGAATTTCACCCAATAAGTAACAAAATTCTTACATACCAGGTGTGGGAATGCTAAAGAATGCAACAGCGGTCACGAAAAACGCTACAAGAGAATCAATACAAATGGCAAACCAGCGAGAGGTAGATAATGTGAGTGCGAAAGCTGCGGTATTCATATTCTGGAACAAGAAAACTATAGAATGGCAAAAGTTGATTTCATATCCCATAAGTTGGTCTTACCTGAGTCCGATAGTACTTGTTCAAGACTTTTTTCTGCCTTCTGAAAGCCCTTACTGTGGACAACCCATTCATAAACGCAGATATATGGGAATACAAAGGACTTCGAGCTAAAAACAGTATTCCTGGCACGAAATGGTATGGAAAACCTCAGAAAGCGTGAGAAAGAAAAGCTTTATAGTATAGTTTTGTTCAGTATGTATGGAAAAATGAACAAACTTGTGGCTTCCAAGCGCTGCACGTCACGAGATGACGCCAAATAGACGCTACGAAGTACGACGAAAATAATAAGTAGTGGAATAGTAGGGAGGACAACGAGTGGATTTATAAGGAAAATCACAAACACAGCTCCCAAAGAAGATAGCAAACCCTGGAAAATAAATTTAGGTTAAACAAAAGTTCAATCAAGTCCAATTACAACAGACTCTTTTCGAAACAACCATGAGAAATTCGAAAAACACAAACGACAACTGGTCATCCATCGTATTAACATCCTTCGAAAATCGGTTAAGAATACGTCCTGAATGAATGATGATCACATATAGAGATAGAGTTTTAAAAAATAGAACAAACAAAGCACTTGCCGATAGGGTTCTTGTCGAAGAAAATAACTTTTGTATTGATAACAGCGTTAAACATTCTTCTATACAAGTTGATAGATGCAACAGTTTGACAGAAACGGAACCATACGGCTCTATAAATAGTGAGAACAATCTCTTCTATAGATGAATGAGAAAAATAAAGAGATTTGCGGGAACATAAGAGCGAATTATTAACTACTGAAGCACTGCCAACACATGAAAATTAAGAACAAAGTATCATAGTAAAATGATAATGAAGGATAAATCTCCCGGCGTTGATCAATCCCTGGGGGATGTGCCATGCATTTCTGGCCTTTACAATGATTCGCAGTGGCCTAGCGATGTATCGATTCAGCGCTCTTATCCTCGCAGATAAGTCTGGTAATAATTACCGACCTCGGAGGTACGGAAGCCTCGGTGAGGCACGGGCGCGGGGATCGATCCCATGTGCGCAGTGCAAGGTGCCTCCGACCACTGCATTACACGCGCTATCATAGCCGGTTAACAAAGTCCAGACCGCTCACCTGATAACAGAAAAAACCATTAAAAGAAGGGTAAGAACAGTAAATGAGTGCATATAGTCCGACAGTTCCATGGTCCATTCAAAACCCAAAAGCGTATACTTCTCTTGAGAAACTGTATAATTGACAGCTAATGCAGCAGCTTCTCGTTCAGCAGCATTAGCCCTGAAATCAGTACCTTAACCTTAACTGAGTAGCCAATCTCAGATACATATCTGCCATTAAGGTTTGCATTACAGCAGACATATAACGCATTCTAAATTTCAGAATTAAAGTGATAATGATGTAAGAAATTACCACTTGTTTAACCACCAATCCGTCATGTTAAAGAGAATTTGCGCACCAAAAACCAAGAAAAGAAGAGTGAGTACCACAAACGAATTTGAACACATCGCTTGAACATAGTGAGCATAGATTTTCCAAGTCACGGCTCCTTAAACTAGGCATTGAGCAAACAACCACACAACATGAATATCAGACACTAACCAAAATAGTACACAAATATGGAAGACGTGCTCCGAATAACAAATTGCTTTAGCAAAAATCAGAACAAAAAGCTCACCTGCCGCCTTTTCTTCGCCTTCCTCTATTTCGGGAACGTTGTTAAACAAACTTTCATTCTCATACTCGCCTTCTTCGTTAACGTAGTTGGCGCTCTTTTCCACTACGTCAACACCTAAAGCTGTGCGAAACAACAGGAATGGGAAATGATAACCCACAACAAGCATAACACTATAGAACCATGAAAACTTCTGCAGATATATCAACTTACGAAGTCAATATGATCAACTTAAGTTAAAGAAGAACCTAGGGCTACAGAAACTAAAGATGGTTCGGCTTCTAAACAGCGTAAGCTGGGTAGCCATAAAGAATAGAATTAATATGGTGCAAAACATACGAATACAAAGCTCACATCCATCATTAAGATCGGTTGACACTCTTGATAAAACCTGCTTAGGGCTGCTATCCATAGATGGACCGCGTTTAGTTGACGTTATTCGGGCAAACGAATCTTCAGTTTCCTGAAAAAAGCGGAAGAATAAGAAAGCACACGCTAAATATGTATATATAGGTTCTTTTCTCTTCCAAATGAACAAAAAACCGATTAGAAATAACGTGCTCGAACGAGTTCATTGAAGTGTTCTGCGTGGCTTTCCTTCACGTCTTCAAGAGTCCCACTAGCGACAACCTGCAAAAAATTGAAGCTTTTGGAGCAGTTATGCCGCACAGGAATTAAAAAGGTCATATTTCACCTCTCCCTTTTTCATTAGCAGCACTTTCGAAGCTGAATGGAGAAATTGAATCTGATGTGTGACAAGAACAACAACTTTATTTCTCAGATAGCCACAAATGCACCTCAAACCAGATCAGATGAAATCGTTCTATTTACAATTTAGACAGTTCCACTTACCTATCGAACAAATGACGTGCAACTGTTGCGTCAACGGCTGATAACGGATCATCGAGCAGGAAAATGTCCGCATTCGAATAGATAGCGCGAGCCAATGAAATGCGCGCTCTCTGACCACCTGAACTAACTAGAAGAGATAACTCAAAAAATCGATTTTCTATAAACCTCGGCATAAATAATCGATATATTCATCTATACGTTCTTATGAACTGATCTTGTTGAGCTGATGAGAGGTTAGTACAGTTGTCGTTGTTGTTGTTGTCTTCGTTGGTCGACGGTTAACCTTTCCGCGACCATTCCTCTGGAAGCAACTACCAGGTGCATATAACAGCTCGACATCCAAGAAGAATAGCTGTGGGGCTCCCACTCGTAACAGCAGGGCTCTCGGGACGGTGAAATTGCCAAAACGTTGGTCATCGACAAACAAAAACAACAATAATAGTAATAACAATAATAATAATAATAATGGCAGTAGTAATAATAATAATAATAATAATAATAATAAAAACAACAACAACAGCGACAGCGACAACGACAACCATACCAACCTCGCATCGGCTCAACCAGATCAGTTCAAAGGAACATAAATAACAATAAAAAAACCACTATTGCCCCACAATATTCCAAAATGTTAATTAATGAGAGTAAGATTATATACCTGAGAGAGAAGTTCCACGATCACCAACAACCATCGCATCTCCATGCGGAAACTGTTCGATATCAGAACTAAGTGCAGAGAGTTCCAGCGCTCGATGATAAGTTTTCTAAAAAGTTAAGCAAAAAACGATGTCATAAAAATGTCAAGTAGTACGAAAATATACAAGGACCTCCAACCTGATCGTAGTCACAACCGAAGAGAATATTATCGCGTACAGTACCATTAAAGATCCAAGCATCCTGATTGCAATACGCAATCTTACCATCTATGATAAGTTTACCAGTAAGTTTATGAGTCTCACAGAGTAAGGAGGACAATAACGACGACTGGAACAACACACATACTTCAAAGACCACATATTTTCTGCAACAATAGGAGAGGAAGATCAAATCCCTTACCTTGCCGGAGCCAACTGGACCAACAACAGCAATCAAATCCCCGGAATTAGCTTCAAAAGTGAGATCTTTCACTGCGTACGCATCATCTCGATTGTTCTGAAAATAAGGAGGATGAAGATAATGTACAGATAATTTCTTATTTTGAACGAACCCCCTCAGTCTGCCATGTCGTTGTCAGCGATTCGACAACGATTCTAGACCCTTTCGCATGCTGTTCCTTCAGTTCACGACCTATCCCTATGTCGCTTACGGACCGGTTCTGTAATCATTATAGAGGTTTAAGTGGTGATTTGAAAAATGACAACTGTAATGCCAAATGAATGAACTCACCTCAATCGAGCAATACTCTTCCTTGTCATATTCACACAGAGACGAGTCAGCATATGAGGTGAACTCTTCCAATTCCAAGAAAGCCTGAACATATTCGGATCGATTTTCTCGTGAAATCAAACTTAGTGAACCCTACTGACCTGAATACGTTTCAGAGTCACGCGAAGTTCAAAGAAGAACTGCACCGCGAACGGAAAGAAGAGTGTTATCGATAGGCGACAAGAGTTATATAAACCGACCTACAATGGAAATCTCACAGTCATTAAGCGGTCGAATTGAAAAATCTATAAATAAATACAAGCACAAACAATAATGTAAATATAGAAATGAGCGCGAGAGGCGCGGGTGCATATAGATCGGTCAATAATACGCACAAGGCTGATGGTTAAACCCTGCGAAGGCTACGAAGCTTGCGAACCCTCCAAGATAGGAAACTTGGCACCAAATTTGTATGGGCAAAGCTCCCTGCAATCCATAAAGACAGGCGACTATTTCTAGTGAAGACTTGAGAGCGCCTACATACGGCCATTCCAACATTCAAGAGAGAGTCAACTCAAGCCGTACTTAAGGACCTTATTCCTACATTGGAGCAAAGTTCTCAAGGAGTACATGAACCCACATGCAAATCAGAAGTTACAGAAGATGAAGTAAGAAAGAAAACACGAACAAACTGCACATGTGAAGAAGGGTAAACATAGGACAGGCATAAAAGCAGAAGAATATTGAGATATGAACAAAACTTCGAACCTCAGGTGGGATTCGAACCCGAGACTACTCTTAACGGGACCCACGTTCTGTCCACCACACTAACCGGGATCCTTGCTTTGCCTTTCTCTCAACCAGTTTTATTTACTCTATCGGTGCTATCAGCAATAACTCGTCCACAGTAATGATCTAAACAAGGGCCTCTGCTGGTGTGTCCGATAGCACGGTGGGCCACCGATAAGAGTAATCGCGGTTTCGAAACCCATCCAAGGTTCCGGGTTCTGTTCATTTCTCAGCATGTTTGTGTTTGTATCTCATATACTACCTTACTATGAAAGAAGATAGAATAGGCAGTAAATAAAAGTAAAGACATAAAAATAAATGTAAAACAAAAACTGATTTATTGCGAATACAGGAAACGCGAATATATGACTTCATTTGCACTATATATTATACATATATATAAAATTAAAACAGTACTAAATAAACGCTGTGGATGACCTCATATACTTACAGCGACAAAAATTCTCTCAGTACTGAGATCGTTACCAGTCAGGACAAAGCAAAGAACAGCGAAAAGAACTATTAACTTTCCAGAACTCCAAAATAAACCCATCACAAGCGACTGGATAACGGTGTTTACTCGCACTTTACTCATCTCACGTCTAAAACAACACTACTTTAAAAGAAGATAAAGCTCTCGGCGTTGATGAATCCATGAAGGATGCGCCATGCATTTGACCTCACTAAGCATCGTTGGAGCTGATTGAATGCATATCTGGCCTTAAGAATGACTCGTAGTGGCCTACCGATGTATCAAGTCAGTGCTGCTATCCTCCCAGACAATTCTGGCACCAATTTGCCAACCCCGGAGGGATGGCCGGCTTGGTCGGCCTGGGGCGCTAGGATCGATCCCATGTGTATTGCAGGGCGACACCGATCGCTGCGCCACACGCGCCCTAATACTACTTTAGAACTTAGTAATAGAAAATTGAGACGTTTACCTCCTCAAATCGGCCACGACGTCAGTAAACGCATCTTCCCACACATACATCTTAATCATCCGAATACCGTTCAATATTTCATTCATGACACTTAGTCTTTTGTCGGCCCGGTTCGCGATTTCCTTCCTAAATATCTGTTCAGACCGCATGACACTAGAACGTGGTGACAAGTATTCCATAGAAGACCACCTACCTGCAAGCACCCATCTTTGAGGCGAAATAGCCCTGGATTGGTATCAGTATAACCAATGCGCCAAATCCTGGGCAAAGAAAAAGTGGCCCAGCGTCTAAAGGGATACACACATTTACAAGTAATTTACCAGCAAATGCAGATGGTCCGATTTCTTTCCACAAATAATAGCTGTATACAACTAGTAAAAGAGGTGATACCCATATGTGATGAATAAACACGAACCCCTGAAATGAAGTACAGCTGGAGAAGAATCACAAAGACTGAATACCACAGAAGATTACCACATCAAACTTATTGACATCTGTAGAGAGCAGATTGACCACGTGGCCAACCGTAGTCCTACGCAAAGCCGAGTTCGAAAGACTCAATCCCTGAAGAGTTTCTAACTAAACCTAAGATTTCTTCAAGGAAATAACACCCGACTTTTTTCACAAGCATTCCGCTAGTGGCCACTTTAACTTGCAATCCGATCTTTTGAAGACCATAATAGTACAGATGATGGACAACAGCGAAAATAATAGCGGTCATCGCAATCCCTCCAGCGGCTAAACTCGGCACTTATGAGGAGCAAAAATATCCCTTTAACTTTTAGTACCTAACTCACCAGTATACGCTTCGGCTGCAGTCAAGGGAACGTCGTATCGAAAGTATCGGATTAAACGACCCATAAGGAGAGGTTGACATAATTTTAGGAATTCCTATAAGAGTTGAAATGGAGAGCAACTCAAAGCGAAACTAGTGCTGATGTATTAGGGCTCTCTAGAACAGGCACTTTATCAGTACTTTACCAAACGACTGGAAACCTACAGTTACCGCAAGTAAGAACAAAATAAAAGTAAACACAAAAGTAATTGTACGTACTTCCACGAAGAGCAGCACACCATACAGACAGATTTCCTTCCCATACGTTCTTCGAACCGCAGCCATTAGGCTGGGATTCCGTTTAAACCTGTACGCTTTCAGCCGTTCCGAATTCCAGGCACTACAATGGCCTACATAGGTAAATGAGAATCACTATAGAGCTAGTACCAATAACATCGATTAGAGCTAGTACCACTAACATCGATAGACGTCTTGTGGCGGCTTCAGATTCATGTTCAGGAAGAGGCTCATACATATCTTCAACTTCAAGAGTTTTCCAATAACCCTTATACAAAAACCGGGTGATGAACCTAGATAGACATTATAATCGTGATCATAGCAAAGCAAAAATACGAAGAGAACTCAAAAACTTACATGAAAGTGACCTTAGAGAAGATGCTGGCAGTGGTCTCCGGATTCGGTTCGAGAACGGTAGTGGGTTTTTGTTCGGTCTTCTCCAGAAGGATTTCAAACGCTTCTCCTCCAACATCATTTTTGACATTACCCATCGTTCTAAACAGGTTTTAATGAGGGTAATAGAATGCAAAACAAGCCAAGGAGGCGACTACAGGCGTTACAAAAAAGGAAGACACTTAAGCAGAATCTTCTACGATCTCATTGGAAAAGAAAAACAGAACAATACAACAATGAGAAGATTTTACTCCATCAAGAACACAAAGCTTAAAAATTGCTTATTGGGAAACCACAAAGTGTTTTTTCTGTTTTCGATGGCAAAACGCATAGATGCGAATTCGGTGCAGCAGCTTCATGAACGTCAACAATAACAATAGAGTTTGAAGTTCACGAAAACTATGAGCCACCACGATACTTTCGAAAATCGACTTCCACCAAGCCCATGGATTTCATGAATGACCGGCATTCTATCCTATTCATGAGCTTGCACGAGTCTGATATGAGCTCTTCGTTGTGGCTACTGACGGTTCGACGTCGTCGCCGTCGTCTCCAGAGGGTCAACGCTTCGCCTCCACCGCCCACAGCAGTCGCAATCCCGCTAGTGGCGTCGAGTCAAATCAAGTGCCGCGGAGCGCTGCAAGATTGAGCACACCGCACTCCACACTGCTCTTTTATACCGTGAATTATCGATCGGCGCTGGTTGTGCGTTGATAATGATTTATTATCATGGAGATAATACATCCTCTAGCAGTCCATACTTTATCAAATGGTACATTTTTCCCAATTTTCTACATGACACACCAACACATGTATCATAATGGGCGAATTCCACGACATGTCTTGTATTTCATTCGTTGGTTCCCGTCCACCATCCTCAAAGGTCTTCCAACTAGAGGGTTTATGTCTTCGTCATAAATGTTGCTCAATGCTGATGGGGTCAATTCTACCAATGATCTTAGGATACTCGTGCTAGGGCGTTCCCACGTGGATTGGCGAGATCCAGCACGTCTCGGACAAGTTTAATAGTGAACTGTTGGGTCGAAGAGAATGAGCGGTTCGGTGGGTTTGCGCGGGATCAAGCCAGGGCCTTGGTGGTTTGGGCCACCCACTCGATGAACGTGATGACTACCATTGTGCTATGGGCTGTGATATGCAGCTATGCAGTTTTATCTATGTATTCCACTTGTATTTCCATTCGTACTATAGTTTGTAATTATTTACTTGTCATTTATAATTTCTTTTATCTATTTGGAATTTGTAGGTGCACAGTAGTTTTAGTTGTATTTTGCGCTAGTTCTTACCCATCAATTCTTAATTCATCGTATTTACCTCTACACCCAAATCCTCTCCTTCAAAAAATGCCTTCAGAAGGAACGATAGCCTAGGAAGTCATCGAAACCAGCACTGATAAATCTGCCTTAACGGTTCCATTGAAAAAAAAAATGACAGAAAAGTCCAATTATATCAATGATCGATTTCTATATCACTTCTTTTATCGTTGTTTCTAGCGATTCCAAAATGAGTTCTCGAGACAGTTCTCCTCGTACGAATAGTTCTCTACGCAGTCTTGAACAAAGTTAAATTTTATACCCAAATGAGAGATTTACGAGGGAAATATTGAACGAGAGCATTAGTCAGAATAGAGAGGATTTTCAGAGTTAAACTTTCTTGATATCCGAATGCAAATTCTTTAAAGGAAGAAATAAAATGGGAACATCAATCACGATAAAGAGGATTCTGTACAATGTATGCACATGAGTCATCGGATTCACGTCGAATGCGTGGTGAGAGTGAATTCGAAGAGAAACCCGATCGTTTGGAACGAGCTGATGCACTAAAAGTAAACAGTTATTGTATACATTACCGGTTAGTCATCATATAAAAAATCAAAGTTCGAGATCTGTTGAAACGGTCAAAAACTCTTGAACTTCGTCCAGAGCCTATTAACATCGAAACAACATAGCACTTTAACGGCCGCTCAGATGAAGTTCACAGGTTTTTGAATTCTTGGTAAGTTCGATGATTTGCGTCTAACCTGCTATATTTTTCCAGAAATGCTGGCTCATAGGTCACCGTTTCAGTGTACGGTGCAACAGATCGACCGTCATGAACCGAAACCAAACGAGATTTTTTGGTTATCTAAAAGATAAGTAGGTTACGCAAACATTAGAAAGGATGTGCAAACGTACACAGAGTGTGAAAACCTCGTAAAATGGCATAAATGACAGTCACATCACAGGTTTATTTATTAGTACACTGGGAATTGCTCCATAGCAGGAATGATATGAATGATAGCTGGTATTTAAGGAGGAACAACTCCTGATAAAACTAGACTTCCGTTTTCGCTTGATTTCACAACGATGTCAACGTTCCACCCAACTTAAACGTTTCTGCAAAGATTCATCATTCTAGTAGATTCACCCAATCAAAATAAGAACTCTATCTGCGGAGCTAATTAAAGCCAAAATACTTCGAAAAATGGTCACTGTCCGGACAGAAAATCAAATAGATGGAATGTGGTAATCTTCGACATACTAATGATATTGAAGACCAGTTATGGTGACGACCTGGAGACGAACTAGCATGGCTTCGTCGAGACATCAGGGAAAACTCTCCCGAATAAAAATACCAATCTTAGTGTAATCCGTAATCAGTTCTTCTTTCTGTGATGTTGTCATAGGCGGTAAGAGAATGAATAAGAGGCGAATAAAGGCTATGTTGGGAAATACGTTATTGTTCCCGGTTAGAAAGTACATTCCTACGGTGACTCACGGACGCAGTTCGTTGCGCTGCATGTGTAATTCCAGAATATTAAACAGATATTGAACTTTATTCGCACTGTGGTTGCTGTGATTTTGAATTGAAAAAAGAGGGGAAAGCCCTCCAATTAGTTTGTTGTTGCGGACATAAGTGAATGATTGGCAGTGGTCACTGAGGGTTAAGACGCCAGCAGGACGTTTAGAAGGATATCACCGCTCTTCAATGAATCAAATCATCACATTTCAAACATCTGAGTCAGCTGTAAGCTGAATAGAATTGACATTTGTCAATAGTGAAATGATTAGTCACACATGGTGCGACAGATTTGAATGGAATCTTCTTCCTATGCCATTTTATCCCTTACTAGACAACGGAGGTGATTCGAATCGACATTAAGAGCTGTTTGACAGCAGTGCCGAATACGCTTTAATTCTTCAGATCACTTCTCCCTAAGCTTTCAATAATTCGCATCTATTCTAACGCTAACCAACCACTCTAGAAAAGATTAGACCTGGTGCATAATACAGTGAGACATATATCATATAACGGGCAATAAAAACGAACAGAATATTGTTGAGTTTGCAAAGCTAAAGGAAGAAAAAACTGTTCAAAGCAGCACAGAAAAAAACTAGGGCGAAAAAATCCCGAAAACAAGCTGGAGGAAAGCGTTTTATTATGGGATCTCTCAGGAAACGACGGAGTCACAATCACATCACGCCATGTTGTGCTACTGATAACGGCGTACTGCTGTTCCAATAAGTTCCGTTCCATAGTTAGAGTTTGAAACAACAAAACATTGGTTACTAAGGAACTAGCTATTATTCTTTCTAGGTTACTAAGGAACTAGCTATAATTCTTTCTATTCTCCTAGATCTAGAGCTGATACTACGTGCATGAAGACATATACAGCTCCATGGCTAGACAACATTGTCGCCGAAATGATTCGAGCATGATGTCACCAACTAAAACGAGGGGGTTAATAGTGGACCAGAAGCGACTTTATGCTTCACTGAGGCACAGATAGATCTAGAGTACGGAGTGTGCCTTTCTGCTTTGCCTTTTTGGCACATACCTTCTGTGTCTGCAAAGACGTATTCATGTGTGCGCCCGTGGATGTTTTCTCGTTTATGCGGATTGTACTCTAGGACTCAATTCGGCCAAAAGCCTGCAATGAAATAATAGCGAAATATATTACTGACGGTAGTTGTCGCTTCCAACAAATAAGCTCTCTGTCTTCTCTTCTTCTCTGGGAGAAACTGCCAAGCCATAGGTGAGGATGCCCAGCCACATATCAAACGATAACAATAGGAAAATAAGTGAGCCTTATTTCCTTGACCATGGAAGAGCTCCCGATACGGAAGCGTTAGGCACGACGAACATGGAAAGGCCGATAAAATCTCAGGGCCATTCCAGACTCTCTCAATCACGAAAGAATAAGGCGACGAGTTGTACCTACAATGAACGCTCATTTGTATCTGAGTCCTCCATAGCAGACTTAAACACTCAGACAAGAAGAATAAAGCACAGCATCACTGGAATGGCTGAGACGAGAAGACGCCACCCATTCAACGCCATCTATGATATCGGAGAAAAACTGTTCCTCGGAATATCCAACAGTTGATGGATCAGCGGCGTCGGCGTTCTCATCAACACGAGTATGACAATGAACATCCATTCAATCGAACAACTAAAATCCGAATCAAACGTTTACGGTGAACTTGTGGTTAAACGTAAAGCGAGAACAGGTGGTCTAATCATGTAATGAAAAGTGTCGTCGCTCCACAGAAAAACTCCAGGAGTAGAGATTAAATGAATACACACGTCTTCAGGAAATACCAGAACGCTGCACGCTTCATCAAAATCGGAACAAAATGCTTCGGTGGACGGAGATTGCGGGAGAACTAAGCAATGAGGGATCGCGCTAGACCACTCGCTTTGTAAACAATGTTAACAACGTATTCAACGTCATTTTCACCTACTAGAAAAACTCTCTCAAGAAAAGAAGAAAAACGTAGCTTGAATGTTCACTGAATACCTTCTTCATTGCACTGCTGGAAGTACTATGGGGTGAAAAGCTTACGCTTCGTGGAGACACGTTTGCGCTTCGGGGCGATGAAGTTGCATAGTGCGAACGAGGTGAAGACGGTCCTGCAAGTTGACTACTTGCATATTCGCACATATATTCACACATAATTGATGTCAAAAAGTTTTTTTCTTAAGAGTTTCCTTTAGGTTACGTCATTGAAAGTGGCTACCTATGATAAACTGTAGGCATATAGCGAACGAGTGAAAAATAACTGTAACTGTAGTTGATTTTTTAACACTAAGTCTGTCGGACAACTTTAATGATTGTTTACGAGGAAAGTAGAAAATCTGCATTGATTTCAAAAGTTCGGGAGAAACGTGTAGCGCAGTGCTGAGAGGTGCGTGAAGTGCACTCGTGATCTTTGTTTTAATCCTGCCCGCCAGGTTCATTAAGGCTTCCATTACTCGGGGTTGGAAAACTAGTAGCGTACTTGCCTCCGAGAACACCAGCAATAACTTGATACATCGGTAGACCATCACAATTCATTGTATAGACTTGATATGCATTCAATCATATCTAACGATGCTGATGAAGTCCAATGCATTGCTCTCACTAAGGCATTAATCAACGCCGAGAGAGAGAGAGAGCCGCAGAGCTTTTTGATGGAGATGTTACCCTGGTCATGAGGATAAGATGGTCGTACTTCGAATCGTTACTTTGCAGGAACTAAGTCGAAAAGTCAAAAGAATATTCCGAAATCGGGTGTGCGTGAATTGAATGAGCGAGAAGAGGTCGCCTTTATGAAATTTGTGGTTTTCCACAGTTCGGCGATCAAACGGGAAAATAGGAGGTGGTGAATATAATATTTTCATGCACATGATCATTTGGACATTCTAAGAGGATAAATGAATTGCCCTGTATTCAAAAAATAATCTCCACGAAAACGCACATCCAGTCTTAGAATGAATACTGCAAAAAGAAACGTAGGGACCTATTCACTAAATTTTACCTCATATGCTCACTAGACCAGTCAATCATGAACTGTTGTGTTCCAAGCATCACGAAAGCTACCTGCTGAGGTACTCAAAAAGCACACCCATTGTTGAAAATGCCCTTAGAAGATTCGTAAACTACAGAAGTTCTAAATTTTAATGTGATTGAATAGGTTGGATTGCACTTTATTATGGAAAAAGGATAGATTCCAAGAGTCCAAAAGCCAACGCTTATTTCCTAAGGATTTCATTAGTGCAATTCCTAAACACCTGGTTGACACCGCTTTTGATTACGAAATACTTGATTAGGAAAAGGTCATGTCAAACTATGTAAGACCTCTGCCTTACATCGATGATTTCCATAAGCGTAGAAGATTCTTGCTGAAATCTAAAAAATTTACAAATGGATCTGCAAAGTATGGACTCATTACCTACTGAACAAAGTGGAAAATTGATGTCCCATGTAAGAAAGCAGTGGAAAGTGTACTGACCATGACGAGGACTGTGGGAGGGTGGCGCTGAATGGACGTCAATTCGTGGAATATTGAGCTGTTGTATTGGTTTTAGAAGGTGAGCGTAGCTGTGATCGTCTATAGGACTCACTGGACGAACCGGTGATACTGGACGAATTGGATCCGATGGCTGGAAGAACATGTGTTATTGAGTACAATTAATACATAACTACCGATGTAGACGTGTACGTACATGCGTGGGGCCCCGAACGACTGGTACAAACTTTAAATTAATTACTATAATTCTGACGATTTATTTTGGCTCAAGGCGCTTTTCTAAATCTGTTGTAATCAATAGATAGCCCATCCAGCACAAGCGTTGTGGCGACCGTCGCTCGAGAAAAGCTCTATATTGCACTTGGAAAAATGCGAAAAATCATCCCTTAAAAGAGTACATTGACTTGTAATTTGACTGAGAGTCAACTGCTGTTTCATATGCACATCTATAGAAAGGTAGGGTAAAGTCTCTTCTACAATTCTGTAATGTGTGCTGACATTCCTGTTCTTCGAACAAGTGCAACCCACTGACGGCCTTAGTGTGCATCAAGAGACGAACGGTGATTTTACCGGTGTTCACGCTGGTAGTGAGTTATAGCATTGCAATGGATATTTCCATGTAGGACACAAGAATTATTTGGTATCCTTACAATAGCAAAACCGATAGCACAAGCAACTGTCAAAAAAGTTGCGCAACTAGACATCAGAAATGTAGGGAAAGACAGGTATATACTTGACACTTTATACTGGAGTGGCCCGTCCTCACCGGTTGTGCGAACACCAATGCAATCTCCATTTTTCGGAGGTTTGCTGGTTAAGCCACTTTGGTTTCCTGGAATCCGAGGTCAACCTTGCCAAAGTCTGCCCCAGGTCTTCACCACCACAGGCAGTCGCAACCTTTGTGGATTAAAAGGTGATTTGTCCCCATACCACTTTATTACCATGACGGTGGTAAATCCTAGTACTTGGTTCACTCTTAGCTAAGCTTTTGATGAAAACGTTGGACTCCTTCATAGCTTGGGAGGCTATGCCCGGAGATGAATCCTTCCGCTTTACATCGTAGCTCGACACCCAGCAACAGCCGCCATAAGGTGGTAAACCGTTGGGAGGAAAGACAGGTATATATTCAAGAAGTGTTAAATCTTAATGCTTACATTCATTTCTATTCTCACAATAACATCGCCATTTTCGTCCCGTCCATATGTTCGACGCTCAGCATGCTGATTAGTTGAGTATTGCGTCTGAGGCTGAAAATCGACATCAAAATGGATAAAGTAGGGATTCAAACAGAAACTATTCTGATGAAAAACGTGTAAACTTGAAAAAACTGCATGGTTAAATAATGAGTTGATGACAAATAGAAACTGAAGAAAGTACTGCATACACATAAGATTTGGGGCATAGGATCAGTTCACCATTCTAGTCGCGTATAGGACTGATTCCTTTCTTGGAAATGTCGACGAGGTGCGATCTATTTACCCATCACCTTCAGAAGAATGTTATAAAAACCGAAATCTTGAATACAACCAAGACGCGTCTGCCTTTGGAAAACTGCGAGTTTTTATGATGGCGTGGAATTGAGCAGGTCATAACCAGATAAACAAATGTGAGGCGGATAGCAAGTGGTAGTTATGTCCGCCATCACTAGCATAGTGCTAGTTCGATTCCGCACCGGCCAACCAGGCCTCTTATCACTCCGGGATCGTGAAATTGGTACCGGACTTGTCTGGAAAGACATCACTCTCTGCAATCCAACAGGGAATGCTCCAACCCGGCTATCTCAGGACTCCAGGGAGAATTGCTCAATCTGCATTACGCGACGTTCAGGATGAAATGAAAATCCTCAAGCAGCAACCGAAGCCACACGTAAAAACTTGGAATACCTTCGTGGGCGATGTATGCGAGGAGACGAATTGGATGCGAGGTGTGCTGGGGTACACACAGTGGACGTGAAGACGGATCAAATTAAAAAATAAAAAGAATTGTGAAATATAACTTCAATGATGCTGAGATATTTGCAAAACTCCGGACCGCAGGTGTATGCGGTGGGGAACGAACACGCGGTACAATGTATACCCTGCCGTTAAAAAGAATAGGCAGTAAATAATACGTTAATAAAAAGAATGTTTCTTCATAATATTGCATTATCATGGGCAATACAAAGCTCATTCTATGCACTTCCGCCATAGCAAAATTCGTTACTTCTACGAATTCAAACTCAGAAGTACGCAGTGAAAACAGATCGAAAAACTAATGACCTATGGAGCCAGGGAGCACACAAGAAAGCACAGTGCAACGTTGATTGGAAAAATTTCGTCGTTAAGAATTTGAAGATGAGGGAAGTCGTCGACGTCTTTGTGTTATCGAGGAAGACGAATTGAAGAATCTGTGCGAAGCAAATACATGCAGAATTGTTGTCAAGCTTGCGGAAGAAATCAGTGTAAGCATCTAAACTGTTTCGAAGCCTTAATAGAAAATTGGGAAATAGAAGTTCTGCAAACGTATGCTATGCCAATTGAATAACATTCAAAGAAATTCCCTTTTGAGGTATCGTCGGCGCTTCTTTTGCTCAAACAGCAAGTTTCATTAAAAATTTTGCGACGAGAGATGGAACGGAATCCTATATAATCTCTGGCGACGATTGGTTCTGTGAATGGATCGCGATAAAGCTGCGGAGCCTCTAACCAAATCTGAAATTGCACCGGTTGTTCTGCACTTATGGTCGCCAACAGCTCGTCTAGCAGCTTCGTGAGTACTGGTGAAACGATTACCACGGGGAAGATCGTCCAGAAAATCGACGAGGTGCACTGAAAACCCCAACGGTTGTACATTGAACTGCTCAACAGAAAGGATCCAATCCTTCTCCACAAAATCTTATAGCAAGTTTCGATTCGTGCTCCGCTCATTTGTCGAGGTTCTTCGACATCGAAACTTAGATGCTCTGGAACACTTGAGGTGCTTACACTGAGCTCTTCTGCAAGCAAATCAAGACCGCACAGTGCACTTGATAAAGCGTGTTTGGTTTCATTTCATTCTAATTCGCTTGCATTGAGCAGAAATGCTTTAAAGTGACATATTGTAACACAACATTCCAAAAAAATTGTTACTAAAACACAAGAAGAATGAGCCTGCAAGTCGACATTATTTTTCGAGCAAGCTATAATAGTAGTTTGCTAAATCTGAAAATCAAAAGCAGCGTTCTTGAAATTCAGTACTACAGATGTGCAAGCGTTGTGTTTTCAGTAGCAAGCAGCACGTCGTAAGGTGGAGGGTGAAACGTTCGTTGTTGATTAGTCACTTAAAGATGTGCAATGCATTCGAGTTCACTCGAATCGCATAAGTGAAAGAATGCACATTTGGCGTGTTTGACGTGTTAAATGATTTGCGGCTGCCTACCAATGCAAAAAGTTAATGTTGCTACCCTCTCAGACAAGAACGTTACGAATTTGCCGACGTCGGAGAGATGGTGGGCTTCGTTGGACCTGGATGCTGATTCAAACCCACTATCACCGGTACATTGTAAAAAAAACTTCTAACAACAACACTGTAAGCGCATTTCGACAAATGTAGTACTAGTAGCAAACAATTTAATGCAAAAACAATAAAAACAATACTAACGAAACTACAATTGGTTCTTTTCTATACCTCACTATACGGAGTAGCACCAATTCGTCGTTCGAATGTTTCAATTGTGTGTGCTTCTTCAGATCCGATTTCCTGTAAGATGCTAGTTTATGATGCAGGTCATGAAATATGTCGATCATCAAGGCGTTTCATGACAGGTTTTTAATACGTTGGTGATAACATGCGTTCATTTCACCTTTTACATTACCAAAACATCCAAAGCAAACAAACATTGATGCATAACGCTCTATTGAGCGCAACGTAATTGGAAAATAAATAGTGGACCTTTAGGTTTTAATTCAGAATACCTAGGCCCTTACTAGATTTACTTATATATTTCTATTATCTGCGTGAGCCGGCATCAAATCTACCGTGGGGATCGCAGTACTTCTTGCATTTGATTCGTTTTCCTTGCATTCATCGTCAACAAATACTACAAAGGTATTCGAACATTTCCCGTGTTATTTTTCCAGCTACTGATTGAGGACTTCATTTTCTTTATGGATGTCGTAAAGTTCTGGTGAGTCGTTTCCCTTTCCAAAGTTGTAGATAGCCGAGCTCAGGCATTTACAAGTGGATTGGAGGTTAGCGTCGGTGAATGGGTTGAACTAGCGTCATGATTCCAAATAGATTGCATCACTTAGCAACTCATACCCCCTCCACTGAACTTTATCAGTTGAATGTGTCGTTTTCTTGTTCAGCAATCGCGAGGTTTTTAAACAGCATACATTTACTTCCATAAAAAACACAATAGAATACAACGCTAGCTGACGTTTCGGCAGTATCGCCTTCTTCAGAGCCGCTTTTTCGAGAAGCTGTTGATCGTGTAGTTACCAAAGAGTCTTTCGTCTTTGTGTAAGTGTTATTGAAGCGTTTGGCCTAGTAGATTGTATATCAGTATACCCTTCCTGGCTCTGAAAAAGGCGATACTGCCAAACGTCAGCTAGCGTTGTATTGTATTGTTTTTTATGGAAGTAAATGTATGCTGTTTAAAAACCTCGCGATTGGTGAACAAAAAAACGACACAATCATATTCCAATGCCGAGGTTAATAGAAAGTCGATCCTGGGAACTTTATCAGTTGAATTAAAATTGAATCTAAAACAGATAGAATCTGCAGATCAATTCTTTAAGGTACAAGTTTTTTAAGGTACAAGTTCTGTTATTCCTTTATGGTGATATTCCAATTTAATTGAGCTCACGATACTTCTTTTCTACCTTTTTTGGCGTAAAGTTCCCAAAATTTTATTGGGGAGGCTTGAGAGTTTGTTTGGTTTTTAGGCCATCCGTTTAACACTGGTAATTTCGAAAATTCGTACTTTACGAACCATTTAATAATTTTAGCTGTAGAGTTATTAAAGCTGAAGGGATATCTTGTGAAAAATGTGCACATGCTCACGTCAATGAATGAAAGCCGTTCCATAACTCGGTAAAGTCACTAGCTTGTCGAATACAGGAACAATAGGGAAATCGTCGGCAGTTTTCGGAAACTCGCTTTATCGCTGTTGTGTAGAATTTATGC